GTGCTTGTAGCGTTTACGGGATGAAATTTTTGATCCCGTCAAATGTGTCCACATGAGGTATCCAAAGGATTGGTGCCGATGATCGGTTCATTTTAAGGGATGAATATTTCGTTCGTTCATTCACAGACTGGTAGGACGTTCGCGATCGACTAATTAGATTTTTGTAATCAAAGGACACGCTCGTTTCCTACGATCAAAACATCATTCCGACATAATGGACTGGGCTAAATTGGTACCGGGAGAGGAGTTGAATTTTTCATCGGCGGGGACGGGCCTGGTGAAATGGGAAATGAGAAAAGTGGAGGGTGAAATGGGGGGGCTGAAAAAAAAGTTTAAGGAAGAAAATAGGATAGGGCAAATCTAATGTTCTCATTTTTGGCCTATCGCCTCCGTCGACCAATAGACCGTGATAGTTTTTGTACCCGGGGAACCTTCGACCGTGCCTATTTTTCGTGATTTACGAGTTTCGAATATACGCGGGGACCCCGAAGGGGATTCTCTGTGTTGTTTCTCTCCTTTTTTTTTCTACCTCTCGGTATAGGGTCAGACCTTGCCGGTCGGAGGTTCAAACTAATTTCGTAATATGGGATTTGTAACCGTTGTCAGGAATTCATTAGCAGCCGATAACTAAGTCAATTGAGATATCGTGAGGGCGGCTTTTTCTCTTGGGTCTACGCTTCGTATACGTTTCTAGGGTCTGTTTTTTTTTTTTTTTATACTATTTCTTCAACCTTTTTTTTCTCTCCCTTGAACCCGGGTCAGAAGGCGTTTGCATCCTTGTTCTTTCGTTAAAACTGATTATTGAATTTCTCGAAATACGGCACCCCGTTATTTACGATACGTGACCCTTTCAGCGCGGTTCAATTAACGCGAATAATCCCTCTTAGGTATCCTGGCCTCTGTAGTTTTCTCCGTTTCTAGGGGATCGTTCGTGTTTACCCGCATGACCAGGGACAATGAGCTCGTTTTGCACCTTTCTGACGTCCGTCTGGCAACTTCCACAATACTTGGGAAAGGATTACTTGTAGTCGCGTCAATCACAGTTTATATATTCGAGAGGGTGTTGCCAGAAGTAATTGAAAATGTTTATCCAGATCATCGCGTGAATCGATAAAGAACTGTGAGGCAGTTCAATTAGATTTTGCCATCTATTTGATACTTGTGAAACCATGAAATGCATAAGAGGTTTCGAGACTGCGCGAGTAAAAAGTCATTTCTGACTTACCGACGTGTGATAAACTTTTTTCACTAGCTAAAAAATTATGTATATCAAGCGCTTACTCAGCTTGGTAACACTCGCATGGTAACCATGAACCCAACAGCTGCATAAGTGCCATCCGTCGGTAAGTTACTTCACTTTTTAATTCACGATTGGCTAAGAAGTTGCAAGCTTCTAAAATTTATCAATTTTTACGAAGTGTTTAACAATAATGTAGAAACTACGCAGGTTCGCTCGGTGCACGAAAATCAAAATAAAAAATAAGCAGCCATTAATGAATCATACGTGATTCATATTACCAAAAGCCTATCCCAATAATCACGCTGCACATGTACAAGTCAAGTGTCGGCATTCAAAACGATTTGAGTTTGTTGATACAATGTCGGACCATGATAAGCCGACATTTAACTTATCTTTAAGTACCGCCGCGGACTCGCATCCACTTTTTCCCACAGTAGTGAATCTACAAATTCCGAACTATCCGTGTATAAGTTACATTCTATAAATTTCATGAGGCGCGTCTCCTTCGTGTCAGTGGTACCGATTTGCACTTTTGTACAATGAGGTTTGACGACACTATATCAGTACGATAAAACGAAGAATCCATCATCGGTGTAGAAACTGGTGAAAGGACTGGACGAGGTCGTGCGTTCAATGCATCGGCTCAAATACAGTATAGAAGACGCCGTTGGGACGCGCCTTGACGCTATCCAGAACACGGTTGCATCCTTTACTATATATATAAGTTTTAGAACGCGAATAAAAATTTCCAAAAAGATTTATATAATACGTTAATTGAAATCGTACCACCCAAAAAAAAATCAAAAATTTTTCATAATTTTCAAAAATACATTACACTCGCGTTTTGCGGGAATGTAACGAAATTTGGTAACAATATTTTCTTTACATAAAGACGTCTTTAAATTAACAGACGACCATGCGACGTACGTACTCAAAATGTGCGTTCGACATATTTTTCAAAAACTATCCCAGTCACTAGTTTCTGGTAAATGTAACTGCGGTTTCTGTCGCTGGACAGAGAATAAAACAAGGGATGCGCCCGTCTAGACACCCAGATCCACGCAATTGTCTGGACCCACTCGTGAGAAAACTTGCACCAAATGGCTCGGTCGTACAAAACTGCAGAAATACATTTTTCAAAAAAAAAAAAAAATTTCGTTCTTATTTTCGACTCAGCGACTTCACCAATATCCACACCAGACAAAACGTCCAGTATGCAATCGACGATAAAATTGAAGGTCCACCTTTCCGAAAATCCAAAAATAGTATCCCCACAAGAAAAATATTTAATTTGTCACAGACGTTTGACGTATTTTTCTTGCAATTTTTTTTCAGAGCTCTTCCTTCCGGCCAATCAATCGACTATGAACTACCGGACGAAGAGGAGCACAAGCATTGTCTTATTGTTTGACGCAACGGATGACCGGCTCGAAAAAACAGCAGAAGCCCCAAAAAGGACAGACGAACACCATGGGCGGCATCTGACCCCCCATGAGCGCAAGATACACTGAGCTATGGGGATTTTCTATAAACTCGACTGGATAGTGCTGAGCCATGGCTGTTTAGACGTAAGAGTACAAAGGGCCCTTTTATGCCGTGCAACATGGACGCCTCGTGCAACTGGACACCACGTTGCCTCTACTTTTCTTCGTTCGGTAGTTACACGCCGATTTAGCACGTGACGTAATTATCGAAGTACACACCTACGCAAGAGTATTAGCAAATTCAGGAAAATTAATATCGCCGAACATAACATCCCACGGGAGTATAAAAAATATTCATACTCCAATATTTCACTCACCTTATAAAATTGCAAAAATTATTTTTTATACCACAAGGATTCGTTGTGCCGCTCCTGACTGATTGACATGGTAAATAATCAAATGCTTGAATCGCACGTACTGTTTCTAAAACTATACACCGTGCAAAATATCAAAACGAAGATTTAAAATTTCCAAAGGGGTTATATACCGACTGTTGAGTCAAAGGGTACCGGTCTATTGTATATCCTAATTTAGTTCACGGAATTGACATTCGAATTGAACTATTTTTTTTTTTTTTCGAAATTTTCACCAAGAACGTCATCGTACTCGTCACCACGATAAATGCCGTCGCTCAGACGTCGGCGTCTTTCCCACAGTTAAGAAGGCGCCTTACTATCTCTTGGCGCCTGTGCCACGAGTATGCACGCTCGTGCGACCCACTGAAAAGAGCATTATTTCACGGGCTTTTCGGTCTCATATTACACGGCCGAAGTTTTACGTAAGTTTTACACGATTCTTCAGGTACAGAGGAATTTCGTTATCCGTAAATTCGCGTATGCAAGATCCAGTTAGATAACTAATTGAAAAAGTTGCAAGAATTAAATGAAAAAACAAAATCGAAAAATTAGAACAATATTTTTTACGCCTTACCAAATAGTGATATTTTTAGATATATTTTTAAAAAGTAAAAATTATATATATAATTATATATATATATATATGACGCACGAATAATTTTAACTTATTAGTTATATGCGTTGTTCTTATTTTTCAAAAAAAAAAAAAAAAAAAGTCCAAATCCTGGGCGGGCGTCGAGGACTCGGGGCGCCTCTGGATGCGTCTGGATTATGTTAGAAGTAAAAAGGACACGCACGCCCGCCTACTCTTGACACTGGTGGGAAAAATGCATTGTTTTGTTTTTACTTCATCGTCTATTTATTTGACAAGTGATCCTGATCAATTCTATGCATTTGATGGTGACCCTTGAGTGGTTGCGCGTTAGGAGAGAGACCCCAATTCGTGTGCCCCCGCCAACCCCCTTTACACCATACGCATTAGGGTGAATTTTCACACGAGCTCAAAATCACCTACTACACATTCCAAAGGACCATACATAATATACAACCCCTTGGCAAGAGGCTTCTCGAATGCTTTGACAAAATTATTATAGACAAATAGACGCTTTAGAGTGATGCGTAAAAAGCATTCATGGGAATCGGAGATATGGACGAAAGCAAATTTTTCTAATAAATCCCACGTCTCGCTGTAAGGACGCGATTAAATAATAATAAATCGTTCGAGACAGTGGTAAATATATAGTATGCGAAATCAATGTGCAAAAACGTAATTCGAGTCTGCGTCCGGTGATTTCAGTAAGAAACGGCGCAAGATCAATGTTTAATATTTAGATTCAAAGACTCACCGCTCGCAGCATCCCTCGATTGGTCCAGCATCTCAATATAGGCGGGCCTCTCGGCGTCTCCTCCGCCCATAGAACGTTCCGCGCTATGGCTGTCCGTGAACTGAATAAAAAAAGTCAGCCTGGCGTCATTCACGGGTTTACAACCAGCTAATTGCACAAATATTTTATCTCAACGGAAAGTCATTTTCGGTTAAAGATTCACAAAGGATAATTGAATAACGATTGGTCATATATCTGTTACAGAGTTTATCTCAGGAAGAAATTTTTTTTGTAAGATAACAAAAAAATATATAATTTTCGTATCGAAGATTTTGAAACGTCCATTTTTCTTTCTTCCAAAATTTTATATGTAATAAGTTAGTAATGCTTATTCTGGTTTTGTGAAAAAAAAAATAGATATGTATATATATATCGGTGGAGATCCTTGCATCCACAAACACACTGTTGCACATTTACGTAGACGCAGGCACGTTTACGCAGCCATACGCAATGGCTGGTTCGTGGTATTTGTGCCTGAAGCGACCAACACTTGACTCTCTGGAAAACCAAGTCACATTAGACGTCTGCCCTCCGACCTGACCGCTCAACCGTAACGAGTCTTAACAGATCGCTGAACTTTGGGTCTAGAAATCGGCATCCGATTTTTTTGACATTTCGATAAAATCGTTATCCCCATATAAGACAGTGGAAAAAAAAAGTCGTAAATAGACCAAATTTTTGTTTCAATCTTACACGTGTAAAAAATCACCTTGCAATTTGAATTAACGAGGTCATCGGTCAACGGAGCTTCAAGTATAAAAATTCTTTAGGACAATCCGCAAGCGTTTGGGTAAAAAGTTTAGTGTTTTTTTTCAAAAGTATAAAATTTTTGAAAAATTCGCATTGTGTCAGTGGACGTGTGAATTGTAATAAAAGTGCACATAAGATACGGAAGATCTTGATGGGTCTGATCGTAAAAGTGAAAGCAAGCTCAGTGATTGATTAAGTCGATCGATAAAATTCCTCGAAAAAGAGTAATTTTTTAACGTGAAAAACGGTGTTTTTGAAAAGAAAAAATATCGACGATGCTCTAGAATGTTGTCTTCCTCGATTTCCGCCACTCCGTTCAGTGTTCGTGACATACTTAACGAGGATCAACAAATCTGCAGCATGGATTGCTACCCCCATCAGCAACCTCAGGCACAGCAACAGCAGCAACACGTATCCCAGGATTATTACGCGTACAACATAATTCCGGAGAGCAATTGGGAAGTGGAGAAGTATAAAGAGCAGCCAGTGCCCGGTTATCAAAATTACACGGAAATGAGCCACGTTCATCAATTGAGTCAGGTCGTCCCGCCATATCAGGAAACTTCGGTCGCTGAAGATGGTTAGACGGCATTCCTCATTAAGAAAAAAAAAACCCTTTCACGTAATAACCTTTTTTTTGAAATTCCCAAATTTGCTTTCAGGAAACGTCGTCACGTCCAGCAAAACGGAATTGCGCAAGAGTCAGTCGGGCAAGAGAACCAAAAGGAAGCCAAGAGTATTATTTTCTCAGGTAAGGAAATATTTTGAAATTTCCAAAGAAAAAAAAAAAAGAATCCCCAACGACGTAAAAATTTTGTCAAATTAAAAAATATTTTACTTTTTTTTGTCCAGGCACAAGTTTACGAGCTGGAGCAACGATTCAAGCAACAGCGTTACCTGAGCGCCCCTGAAAGAGAGATGCTAGCGCAAACTTTAAAGCTCACGAGCACTCAGGTGAAAATCTGGTTTCAAAATAGACGCTACAAGAACAAGCGCGCGCGCATAGAAGACGCGGAGAAGCTGCAAGCTCAAAATCTGAAGAATCAATCGCTCAAGAAGATACCAGTACCGGTCCTGATAAAGGACGGTAAGCCGAACGTCCACGAGTCGTACAATCCGCCATACTGGCCAATTCCAAGGGCCGATTTGGGAATGGGAATGCAACCGGAATTCAGGGCTAACGAGATCCGCCTGAGTCCGGAGTTCAGGACGAATTCCAACGAGATGCGTTTGGATTCCAGCATCAGTCCTGAATTCAGAAACGAGATGAATTCCGACATGAGCGGAAGATCCAGTCTGAATATGGATGTGCATCGGCACCTGAGTCCTGAATTCAGGACGAGCTTCACTCCTGAAATTCGTCCCGGAATGCAGTGCGACGTGAGATCGATCAAGAGGGAGTGCAGTTCGGATATGAGCAGCGAGGTGTCGCCGTTTCCGGATTTGAAGAACATCGCGCCGGAAGTTAAACCGATTGGAAACGAGACTCGAACAGTCGCGGACATTTCAAACGCAGATTACAATTTTACCAATTATCTTAACCCGCCTAATTATCAGATGCAATACGTGAGTTATATGGACCAGATGCCTATGGACCAAAATTTACAAAGGTTATGGTAAAATGCACTTCGACGGATGCATCGACTAGACTGCACCTTTGCAAGGAGCAACGCACCGTTCTAACGATTGAAGTCATCCTCGCTAAATCCGTTATACCTGGAGCTTGGGAAATTGGACGACCAAAATTTTACGAAACCAAAAAAATATTAACCAGAGAGTATTTTTTAGAATAAGACGTTTTTATTTTTCTTTTATTTTCTTTTCTTTTTTTTTTTTACCCAGAAGAAACAAGTGTAAGCCTTCGTAGGATAACTAGGCTAGTTAGAGTACTAGGATTCACTTTATTGGCAGCTGTTATTCTCTAGGATAGATACGACTTTTTTGCCCAAAAACCCGGTAAAGTGGTGCTTGAACGAACAGAACGGAAATTGCCTTAAGTGGTCTTTGCGGAAGCATCAATTCCGACCAATCGGACCTGCGACTTCGCAGAGCATCTTAAGAAGGATCCACTCGGCACCTTAAAAACCGATCTAAAGGCGGTTAAATCTCTATTTAAAAAAAAAGTCCGTCCCCAAAACGTCCGATCGACTTTTCAAATAGCCTAATTCGGCGTATTAATTAGTGAACTCCGCTCTTTTTCAAATCCCTCACTCTCACCTTATTAAGTGCTATCGAAAATTCACCTCTGAAATCTTCGTATTTTTATCGCCCCTATATTAACGGCACGGTAGTAAAGTGAATGAAGGGGGCAAAAAAAAATAGCGAAATGGCATATATAAATAGGTGAGTTCTGACAGCTTGAGCGAAGCCAGGGGTGCTTTTAGGTTATCGCGCAAGCACGACGGGTCATCTGGCAGTCAAGTGGGCACATAGACTATGTTCACATTGGTGCTTGATGCTTGCACGCTGTATAATCACGCTCACGGTGCTACTGGTGCCATGAAGGACCATGGGAATACGCTGATAAAAATGTCAGGCTTAATTTTATCGTGCAGGTGTACTTGGTCGGGATTACTGAATAAAAATAATATGCATTTACTTTCGAATCTTTTTTTGGGCATGATGGACTCCTTTAGCAATTAAATGTATTTAAAACATCGCTGTAAAGAGACTATTGTAATTTCTCAAGAATAAATTGTTGCTAAGATTACCATTGAGCAAATGCCTTTTATTGGCTGTTATCAAAACTGATATCCTGGATTAATTTTTTTTTTTCTTTATTGACGTAGTGTCGACGAATTTTTTAAGATTTTTTTTTGACATAACCCATGGATCTCATTATGGATCCATATTCAAGGGATGATGCATCACGATGGATTCGCTTAATATTTTCACCCCCATTTGTTAAACAGAACTCCATTACGCGGTCATGTATTCATATAATCAATCACGGAATGTTCAACATTGAAATTCGATCCTATTTAACTGTAAGGCAAGGGGACTGTAAGCCGCGCCATATTGCGCTTGTATATCTAGACTGCATTAATGCGCATAAAAATATAATTTCAGTTTATTCTGATCCTTCGTTACGTCGAACTCATTAATCACGCTCGGAGAGACGAAGATTCTTGGTACGTTTCTTGCGCCGTTCAATTCCTTCTAACGACACTCTGAAGTGCGTTCATTATGACTCGCAAAAGTGGAATGATCATTGCATGCGCGAGGAGTCAAGTTGGAGCAGCATAAAAGGTATTTTAAAAATTAATACGGAAAAGATCATTTTCTTTGGTAACATTCTTCAAATTATTTTTTTTTACAATTTCACAATAAATTTCTAAAAACTCCGTGTGACCATAAAAAGTTACAATTATCAAAATAAAATCCAATATTTACCTAAGTAATTCGAATTTCTACAATTTTCATCAAATTTTAAATTGTCAAAAAAAAAAATAAATCTCATACCATACGAGTTCGAACCCTTTGAACCCTTATTCACAAACGGGTAAAACACGGTCGGTAACACTGCACAGCCAGGATGCTGTGTTTTCTGCATTACCGACAGACGCTCAAGCTCTGCAAGCCCCAATACCGACAAACTGTAACAGACATCAACTTACCTCCGAAACTTCTCGACTTTTAGTGCGTAACGAGTGTCGCCAGGGAACCCAAAGATCCACATAAGAGTCCAGCTGATCCAAAATCTAAACAGAAAAGAAAAAATGTCAAACACCCCCGCAAGATTCAAAAATCTCAATTAAACCTCAACAAAACGCGCGCCAAAGCTAAAACTTAATCGTTAATAAAAATCTAGAAAAGCATCCCAACGAGATTGGTTAAAATTGGCACAACTGGCACAAGGCCTGAAGTGCCGGTAGAAACGTAAGTGACGTCCGGTGTCTGCAAAATAATTCAAGGAAATCGCGTCGAGCATCCTCATCCTATAAAAAGACCTCGAGAGTCACAGCATCCTCTGTATAAACATGATAACATTAACATATGTCTTAATGACTATAGGATAACAAAAAAAAATTATTACTTAAAAAATGTCACAATAGACCCCAAAAAGATTATCGACAGAATCCCCATTACCAACCGCTACCCAAATAAAATCCACCTTCCCCAAGATTCCGTATTGAAGTTCGACAAGAGATTTGGTCCAGGAAGAAGTCATTTCTCAGATTCGGGATAAAGTCTGCTCTAGTTAACCCCTATACGTACCGTCAACGTATACACACTATATACACGTAAATTTATATACTGAATATACGAAGTCAATGCGGTCTGGTTTACAGAAGGGATACAAAGTGAGACAGCAAGAAGATAGACGGGGGGGGTGTAGATAAAAGAAAGCAAGAAAGAAGCCAAAGAGAAAAGGCATAGAAAGGAGAGTGTAGAATAAAGAGAAGGAGTGAATGAGACGGGAGCGGTCTCAGCGGCATATACTAAGCACTAATATTACATCTCTGGTCTGACAGACGTGCGGACTTTAAAACCCAAGACTAACAAACAGCCAGCAGTCATCCGGTCTTCGTGTTTTTATATTCTTACGCTCGTACGCACACCCACACGCATACGGAATAAATAGAGTGCGCGGAGTGCGCGCGCGCGCACGCCCCAACTTTTTCATGCTACCTTACTGGTCGTCAGTCTTTCGAGTGGACCTTGTTAAAATTTACCTATGAAATACGCGCCGGTATATTTGGGCTATTTTAGTTTTATTTCTCAAAAAAAAAAAAAAAAAAAAAAAAGTGCTC